TCTTTTTAGGAGCTTGTAAATTGTAAATTTTCATTTACAATCATTTATTACTTTCTTTCTGTTCTTTGGTACTTTAATTTTCAGATCCATTATCCTCATTTCACCAGGTGATTTATCTAATCTTTGCTGTAAATAATTCATATTCTCAGCTATTATCATATAATCTTCTGCATACCTGTTGCTATATATTCTATCTCCATAAATACCTTGAAGAACCACCCTTGCCTTACTCATTGCTCAGTATTAAAGAACCATTCATCAGGGATTCCATGTATTTTCATGCATGATTATTTCCATCTTATATCATGATTATCTCATTCAGCAAGCAGCCTTCACATTCCATAAATCAAGACTATTCACTTTATATTACACTTTCTCTGAATCAGCACATTTACAATTAGCTTTCTTTTCTATATTTATATATTTTTCAATAACCTTGCTAAAGAACAAAGTCTCGTCCTAATACCCTATTAATAATTCTTAGAAAGGGATGAACAAAGAATAAAGGAAATTAGAGGCCTGTTAGCTTGGATGTTCTTGAATAGCAGGTATGAGGTTCCTCAGATCCAATTTACCATCTTTACAACATGCTAAAAAAAAGATTGCCACATGTGATTTAACACCAGATTCAGGAAACATTTTGCATTGTTTCTTATAGGACTACCATAATTAAAATATATAGGAGGTATCCTTTTTTTAAATCTGATGTTAAACATAATTTGTGTATTCAAAATATTGAAGAACACAACAGAAGTAAATAGATTGCTTATGGATGACTAAAAATAAACTGATATAAATGTAGCAGGATATATATGTCAGTAGTTCATTCTAAGGATTCAAATGATTTAACATAAATTAAGATATTTTTTTTAATGGTCCTAAAATTAAACCTACATTATTAATAGCACTTAGACTTCTATACCACTTTACAATACCTTACAGCCCTCTCTAAATGGTTTACAGAGTCAGCATATTGCTCCCAACAATCTGAGTCCTCATTTTACCAAACTGGGAAAGGTGGAAGACTGACTCAACCTTGAGCCAATGGGAATCGAACTCTGGCAGTAAGTAAAATTAACCTACAAAACTGCATTTTAATCACTGCACCACCACAGTTCTTAATTAATACAAACTCCTCAAAGACCATATCCCTTTATTCTTATTCTTTTCCCTGTATTTTTCATCGCAGAAGAAAAAGAAAACTAATTATGTAGTATAAAATCAACTATTTAATATGTCTCTTTTGCCAAACAACTCATCTTAATAACTCTGATTCACAAAATATATTGTGCTGAAAAAAAATTAAAATATTCTTGAAGAACATGTTGAATGTGTTTGATGTTCTCTTACCAAACAAAGTTGTTATAAAATAAGCACATATTCTTTCATTCTGAACAAACAATGGGATGACTCTTGTTGCATGCTGAGTCAGAACATCTCGGAGACAAGAGACTACATGCTTCTTGCGTATTAGCTAAATGTTAGCAAAAATTAGAGAAAATTACGAGAATTGTTAAGAGGAATTATAAGAACATTTTAATTCTCCCATAAGCCTATGTTCTTACTTGTTGAGCCCAAACTGTTGATTTCCTTTGAATGGATCAAAAGTACTGAAAACTTCAGAATTTCCCCCCTATCTTCTGCCTCACTTACCCATTTTATATCCAACCTAGTCATCTCAACTAAAAAGATTTTATATACTTTAGATGGCTATTTGATAAAGGATGTCCTAATAAACTTCTCTCACAAGGCCTAGGGCTGAAATGAAGGTAGAGTCATGGAGACATGACAGGAAAAAAGATATTGTCAAGTCAAATTTATACCGTAATAGTTTTAAATGGGGAAAGTCTAATGAATGTCATAAAAAGCAAAATAAAGTTACATTTGAAAACAAATAGTCTTAACCTAAGGATGTATCAGGCACCCATTTCCTTGAATACAAAATTTACATAAAACTCAAAAGAAATAAAGACTAAATCAAGAATTACAGTAGTACAGTTTGGTAAATCAGTATAAAAGAACAACACACAATTCCCTTCCTCATGTCGTGTGTGTGTGTGTGTATTTCTGTCACAGCAAATTGTGACTTATGACTATTTTTCATACTTACAACCGTAACAGCATTCCCATGATCACATGATTCAGACTTGGCAACTGGCTTATATATATGACAATTGCCATGTCCTGAGGTCATGTGATCACCTTTTACTAGATTCACTTAACAAGTTAGTAACTTAACAACTGCAGTGATTCACTTAACATCTGTGGCAAGAAATATCATAAAATGGGATAAAACTCACTTAACTATCTTGCTTAGCAACAGAAATTTTGGGCTCAATTGTGGTTGTAAGTTGGGGATTACCTATATTCATTTTAATTTCTAAAATGACTATCTTCTAAACTCCCCTTTTTAAATCCAATTGAGGAAAACAACTAAGAGCAAAAGTCCATCAATTGTACAAAAGATCAACTGTAGCTATAGTAATTGCTCTAATAACTATTTATAAACTATTAACTGTTTATTAAACTGTTGTTTAATATTTGTATTAAATACAGTAGCAGTTTCAGGCAAGTTTATTAAGGAGCAGAGCGTACAAACTTAAAAGCTGGATTACACATAATGCAAAATATAACATTCTCACATTTAATGCAAGAAGTGAATCCCAAGGAAAATAGTAGTACTTAAAAAGTAAACATGATTAGGACTGTGCTGTAAAATGTTATCTGGGTATATTTGAGAAAAATTTGGGCTTTTTAATTTCTCATACAGTATGAAAACTATATTATCATTACCATCTGCCATTTCCACCCTGAGCTAGAACTCAGAAGTAATGAACCAGAATAATTTCCATATACCAAAAGACCTGCCAGGGTTGTGTTATTGCAATATCTTCTCTCTCATCCCATTTATAAAGGACCATTTTATTGCCAAAGTTGGTAGAGGAAGCAAGTAAATAGTTACACATGCTGGTTTTGTTACATATTTTCTTTTTTAGAGTTTGTAATGTTGCAACTCCAAAGAGAACATATTTGTTCCCTAATTTATGGACTTCATAACTAAAAAACAATGCCCAACTAAAAAACTGACCATTCACACACAAACACACACATCCAAACCAGTCCATTGCTTCCATATGAAGCTGATTCTTTGAACTTAGAACGAGAAAGAGGAATTGTGAACTAATGCGGGGCGATAAAGAGTGAGGACACGAAGAGGAAAATGGGGGACGTTATTCAGCCTTCCAAAGAGCGCAGCGGCTCAAAACAAGCGCACTGGAGCACAAACCGAGACCCCGTCCTCCTTCAGCGTCTCAATGGCGCAGGCCAAGCAGAGTGGCGAAGGCAAAAACTCCAGCAGCCAGTGAGGGTCGTGCCGCGAGTGGAACCGCTCGCAGATTAAAGGCTCTGGGGCGAAGCCTGCCATCTCGCCGCCTCACATGCTCTTCCATACACAGTGGCAACTGCAAAGAAGATGGGACAAATTTGGCGGGATAGTTTAACGCAAGCGCGTTGCAAAACCAGTTGCTTTGACGATCCCGATGACAGCGCCCGAAAGGCTCGCGATCGGGGGGATCTTGCTTTCAGCACTAGCTCTTTATTACGGCGGCTGTTTCTCCATCAGTAGCTCAGCCTGATGTTTGATTGGGTTTGTGTTGATTTCTTAGATGTTAAGGGTATTCTTCCCCCGTACGAAGTGATACTATTATGCATAAATCCTTGAATCCGATAAAAAATAATTGCAGCATGCATAATAAAATTTGCTGTCACGTTGCGAATCCTTCTACTGCTTGTTTCAAGTCACAACAGTGATATCTGATTTCCAAGGTGAGAGATAATAAAGCCTAAATACACATTGAGGATCCTTTTGACCTAAGTTAGAATAAGTAGGGAAATACTACTTTAATGACTTAGCTTTTCTCCCTAATGAGCTGATAAGATGAAGTTAACATCATGGGGACCATAGCAGGAAAAAAATGGTATCAGAGCATATTTAAGAAATATATTTTTAATGTTTTTTCAATGTATGCATTAATTAAATGCCAAAGGTTTACACAATGTAACTTAATTCTAAAGCATGTTTACTCAAATCCAATGTGCTTCATGTGTTCAACAAGCATCTCTAAATGCCTTGTGCTCTAATTCTAATGACAGATAGCTATGTAACTTAATATTTTCATCAAATATTCTTGTTTGTTTCAGCCAATGAGCACTGTTTGTAGAGGGAAGAAAAGTGTGCTATAAATTAAAATCTCACTTCAGATTTCATTACTTTGGTAATTTTAGGTATGTGGAACTTCAATTTTCAGGTGGTCCAATATACACTTAGGCAATAATACCACATTCTCCAGGACTCATTCACTTAATAATCCATGCACAAAACTATATTGTCAAATAACTAAAGATTATACTACTTGTATAATCAGATGGTAGATATATCACATTATGAGACATATACTTTTTAATTGCTTCAATTTAATGAGTTACCCTCCATACAGTGTACTTGTTTAATTTCTGCCAGTTGCAAATAACTGAGAGATTAAAAAAATTATAATCGCTATCAGAATGTGTCGTGGATAATTTCTCAGTTTGTCACATACAGAAAATTTTGATGAATGGATTTAGATCTAGCCCCCGTTCACCCAGTTTCTTTTTAAGCCCAGCATCCCACAGCAGGGAAGAACTGCTAAGCTAAGCTGTCACCTTTAACCCATTAAAAAAAACCAGCATGTTTTTATTGCTGCTGAAACTAGATGCTATATTAATCAAATCCCTGTAAATGTAATTAATAGTTGCGGATAAATGACAATTGCTAATGAGTGAACGTGGAAACATGGCCCTTCAAGTTCAGTAAATGTCACCGTGATGGAATCTTAACACGACCATTATGTTAGGTCGAATCTCCTTCTCTACACAAGTTTTCTGTAATAACCAGTCAAAGGTAGAGGTCGCACTTGTGGGAGCCGAGAAATCTTCGAGGTCTGCATCATATTTCCTGCAGGAAGGCCGCTCCTTTCAACGTCACTTCCGGGAGCGCCTCTATCTTATGTATCCGCGCATTTCACGTTTTTCCTCCGTGAAGCTTTCGGGCCGAGAGGATCCAGAGCAGAATCTGCGGGTAAAGTTTCTACTTAACAGAAATGGTGAGTGGGCCAGATCCAGACCTTGCGGAAAGCGAAAGTGCTAACTGTCGGTGAAAATGCCGAAACTGATAGCGCTTCGGCAGCTTGCGGGAGAGCCCAGGAGACCACGCGGAGGACGCTTACCCGGGCACGCTCAGCCTCAGTTTCCATACAGGCACCAATGAAATCACGTGCTGATCCTGGGCTTTCCTCGGTTGCTTTTTAATTTCTGTGCTCATTGGAATAATCCCAGTCTATTTTTGCTATCTTGCGGAGGTTGGAATATTAAATGTCATGCGACGAGTATCAGTCCTTTTGCGATGGATTTTTTTTTATTTTTATCCGGTCCTTGTGCTATTGAATATGAAATGCATAATAGGTTGGCCTACTTTGTTCTCCTAACAATTTTCTCTGGAAATAACAAAAGTATTTGTAGCAGGACTCGGAGAAATCGATTTCCTTCATGTAAATACTTAAATTCAGCTCTTTTCACTCCAGCCCTATCTGTAGATACTAGGTCAAACTCTGTACTGAAGAATGGGAGCTAGTACATTTTGCTAGTATTTATTCATGTTTATTCGTCATGAGATTTGTCTAGTGCTTAAAAAGGACTTTAGGGAGCTTGCAGAACTTAAATATAATCGCAAATCAATATATTAAAATCAAATAGAGATCCAATTAAGGCTTGATTTAAGTTTTTGTTGAAAATAATATATTAAACTTATTAAATAAGATGCCTCGGGTACAATTAATCTTTGAAGATCTGAAACAGCTGTGTCTTCACCTGCTTTTGGAAAACCATGAAAATTCCTTAAAATAGATAGCAGGCCATTGAGGAAGAAATACTGTTTTCTGTAACTTAATTTCTGATATTTTTCTACAGACTGAGGCAGAAGTAAATCCAAAAGCTTATCCTCTTGCTGATGCTCAGCTGACCAAGACACTACTAGATCTTGTACAGCAGTCTTGTAACTACAAACAGTTACGCAAAGGAGCCAATGAAGGTGAAATCTGATTGAACCTCTTTATCAAAATGTTCTTATTATATGGATGTTGGGGGGGAGTGTTATCTCCTTTCAAATACTTTGCCCAAAGTAATAAAAACATTTTAAATAATTTGCCTAAGAGCAAGAGAAACTTAATTCAGGATTCAATATGTTTGAAGATAATAAGAATTTAGAAGCTGCAAGAATTTTAACAGCTACACCAAATAAAAGTTGACAATCAATTAGATCAGGCCTGACAAACTGGTGGCCCATGGGCCGGATGAGTCACATGCAGGCCACACTCACCCCGGCTCCTGAAAGGCAAAAAAGTAACGATACTTCACGTGGCGTGATTGAGTTTGACACCCATGAATTAGATAATGTATTGCACTTAGTAAAGGGAAAGGAAATAGAAAGACAACTCTACCAGTTATTACCAGAGGTAGGTCAGAAGATGATTACAGGAAGCCAGTCTGACCCTTAACTAAATATATCCTTAAATATATTGATGCTCCTTAGTGGTAGCCTATTATTGGTATTTCTTCAAATGTGCTGAACAGAAATAATTGGTATCAGACAGCCACATTGAAAATAAGTAAAAATAAAATGAAGACAGAAAGAGCTTTTACAATAATATCAGTGTTTGCTTTCATTGTTAAGAAGTCCCCACGTGGGAAATATATGGAATGCTGCATAATATACTGATTTGTATTATGTCCTTTCTAAGGTAGGTTAATTCTCCAAAGGCATTTAACTTGCCATGTATCTAGATGAGAACTTGTACTCATACACTGAAAAGAGATGCAGCCAGATATCCAATTCATTGATTTGCAAGTAGTAAGCTATTTCTTCAGTGATATAACCATTTTAGTATCTACCAGACAAATCCCACAATGTGAAAAGGTAGTTGAAAATATATTTAATTGAGATGAACACAAATCTTGAAGCAAAAGAGTGCAATGAAGGATATAGAATACTATTGCATGTAACAAGGCGTTCTTTATCCTCTTGCAGCACCAGCAAAAGAAGCTAGCTCTTGATTACTAAGTGCCTGATAGTAATTATATTGATCTCCTTTTCCACAGCCACTAAAACTTTGAACAGAGGAATTGCGGAATTCATTGTGATGGCTGCAGATGCTGAACCTCTTGAAATTATCCTTCATCTCCCACTACTTTGTGAAGACAAGAATGTGCCCTATGTGTTTGTGCGTTCCAAGCAAGCTTTAGGAAGGGCATGTGGTGTTTCTCGGCCTGTTATTGCCTGTTCCATTACTATCAAAGAAGGCTCACAACTCAAGCCTCAAATTAATTCTGTCCAACAATCTATTGAAAGACTATTGGTCTAAATCTGACAGTAACTCCAAAAACCAAGACGTTATATGAATATTTTGTTTAACAGCTATTGTTTTACAATGTAAGTCATGCTCTTATAGATGGCCATATAAATGATTGATTAATAAATGTTTATTAGGTTTTTGAATCTAGATTACTTTCTTCAGTCATAGGTGGTTGTTTAGGCCAATAATTGGAGATTGCTTGTTCTTTTAAGTCAAGAAGAGACAAATTCATACCCTCAATATTTAGGACAATAATTTGCAGTTACCTGGCAGTAAAGACCCTAACCATAACCGTAATCCCAGATTGCTGAAGCTGGTGAGCAGCTTGCTGATTTTAAGGCGGGGAAACCTGGAAACCCTGCAGCATGGTCAAATGTTTTCAACTTACTTTTTTATGGATTTTGAGAGTGGGAATTGGAGGCTTTCCAGAGAACCTGCCTGAATTTCTATCCTAAAAATACCCTAATGTTCAGAAAATGGGCTAAGCTTGCTGTCAGAATTCAGCAAGTTTACCAGTGTATTTCAGTGACATGACCTCAGGATGCTTGGGGGCCAAATGGGGACTGCACATTGTTCATCTCTACTTGAAAGTGTATTAGGTTGCATATCCCTGCTTTAAATCTGTCTGATGCAAAAATTCTTCAATGAGATTTAAACTAATTATTTGATAAGCTTCATTTGAAGGTGTTTGTATATAAATTAGTATTTAATACAAAATATATAATGTTCTATTCAATAACCAATGACCTGTTGAAGGTTATTTGGCTTATGGAGCTATCCTAGAAAAAAATGAAGTTTCCTCTCTAATCTGATGCAGTTTGATAGGACAGAAATGTTGAGATATATTTTTTTTTTTTGCTTTTTGTTGCTGTAGCCAGAGGCTTTTTTTCAGAAATAAATTACAATAAATAAGTACCATGCCCAGTGTCTTCTCTGAGGTGCAGCTCTGATAGGCATAGACTTCCAAATTTTACCTAGTCAATGCTGCTTTCTAGAAGGTTAGATATGTCGGGATGCTGGCCTCTAGCCTACTACTGCAACTGCACAAGAATTAGATAACAGCAAATTGTTGGCACTATTTTATTAGCAAGACTTAAACATTTCTCTTTTCCAGTTAAAAAAAAGCACAACAAACATATTTCGAATGATATAAATTTTTCAGATGCAGAAATTGGATTATACAAAGAAAGACAACTCCTGACTAGATGAGTCATTATTTCAGAGATATTTTCCTACATAAACCAACAGGATAACCATAGGCAGCAAAAAATTAGACCAGAGTAGCCATAAAAGAACATGATTTAGTAAAAAAAAAAGTTCCTTTAAAAACATACTTTTCTGCAAGTTTCCAACTTTTTTGCACACACACAGCACTTTTTCAACCAGTTCACTGAACAATTTACTGTCAGCTGGGTGAGCTGTGTCCTAAAGCAGGGGTCCCCAACCACTGGGCCCCAGACCGGTACCGGTCTGTGGATCATTTTCTACCAGGCCGCCGGTTTGCTGGGCGCCGCCATCTTGTTTCGACAGACATGATATTCTTCGGAATTCTGATTTTTGGGGGGAAATCAGCCCCGCCCACCTTTCCCCCCTCTTTCTTCTCCTTCCCCTCCCCTCGGAGGCCCCCTGAATCAGGAGGCTCCACGCGGCTCCAGTCCCGCGTTGCCTCAGGAAGGAAAAGGCAAAAAGGAAGAGCCGCGGCGGCGCTTTGCAAAGAGGACTGCCGAAGGCGAAGTGGCTTTGCAAACGATTCCTGGCCGCCCAGATGTAAATAAACAATTTTTGCCCAGGAAGCCCATTCTCACGAGTTTAAAAGGCTCATATAATAATACGCCTTTCTCTCTCCCTTCACCCCCCCAATGGGGCGCGCTTCAACAACTCCTCAGGCCGCTCTCGCTCTTTCAAAAGTGTGAGGCGGGAGTCAGTTGCAGGAAAAACTGAGCCAAGGAGTGGGGACACAAGTCGCAACCGCAAGGCTAGTGGCGGGCGGAGTGGGGGGGGGGGAAGAAGACTATTATTCCTGTTATTCTCGTGCTGTGGGGATAGTGAGTGGGTGTTTGAGTGAGTGTTCTGTGTGTGGGCGTGCGCGCGCGCTGATGCCAGGCGAGAGCTGCCTTTGGGGTTATAGAGCTGCCGCCTCTCGCCGAACTACCCGCGCTGGACGCAAAAAAGTTCTCCGTGGGGAGGAAAGTGGACCCACGTCATGCCCCAGGTCTCTTCTCCCCCCCTCTCCCCCAGCTGTCAGGTGCCTGCGCGATCAGCCCGGAGAAGCCCTGCCGCCTTTAGCCCGCTAAAGGTTCTACTGAGGTTCTTTGCTCGATTCCCTGCCCGAGGAGCAGAAGGGATCAACGCTCTCCAGTGCAGGTGGCCCCAGGGACTATTGTATGCCTTCCCCCCCTTCCCCTGATTCCAGGGGCAATCAGGAAAGTACTGATAGAAAGGGCGGAGGTTCTGTTGGTAGCCCCTTACTGGCCCAGGCGTCTTTGGTTCGCCGACCTGGTGGGCCTGTCAGTCGCCAGACCCTGGGGAATTCCCCTGCACAAGATCTCCCTCAGCCAGGACCCGATCGAGCACCCAGATCCAGCCTGGTTTCAGTTGACCGTCTGGCGCTTGAGCGGGGGATCCTGAAATGGGAGAAGTTTTCCACAAAGGTTATTCAGACCATCCAGGTGGCCAGAAGAACTTCCACGAGGATATATAACGCAACATGGAAGATTTTCTGCAGTTGGTGCGCTAGTCACCAATTGGAACCCACTGTTGTTTCTGTTGCAAAGGTATTAGAGTTCCTGCAGGACGGGTTGGATAGAGGTCTCGCCCCCAATACCTTGAAGAGACAGGTGGCTGCCTTGGCCTCGGTGATTTCGGTCAAGGGCTCTACTACTCTGGCCCAACACCCTAGGGTGAAAGACTTCCTTAGGGGAGCCACGAATTTGAGGCCAACGGTGGTCCACCGCTACCCGACCTGGGATTTGCCTAAGGTCTGCAGGCACTGACTTCTCCCCCATTTGAACCCTTACATAAAGTCTACCTTCACCTTCTCATGTGCAAGGTGTCATGCTTGGTGGCCATTACCTCGGCCAGGCATATTTTGGAGTTGGCGGCCTTATCCATCAGGAAGGATCTGTGCGTATTGCATGCAGACAGGGTGGTTCTGCGGTTGGACCCTACCTTCCTGCCCAAGGTGATCTCCTTATTCCATCGTTCACAGGAGTTGATTTTGCCTAATTTCTGTCCCGAGCCTACCCATGCACTAGAGAAATAAATGGCACACCTTGGACATTAGGAGGGCCCTCCATATTTACATTAAAAGAACTTCTTCTCTTAGGAGGACGGAAGCCTTGTTTGTTTCCTTTCAGCCGTCAACTTTGGGTCGCAGGGTAACACCTTCCACAGTAGGTCGCTGGCTCAGAGCCTGCATTGCAAAGGCCTATGAGTTACAGAGCCTTCCTGTACCCAGGAGGATCACAGCACACTCAACCAGAAGTGCAGAGACCACCACAGCCTGGGCAAGGCAGGCATAGATTCTGGACATTTGTAGAGCTGCGACCTGGTCATCAGTGACCCCATTCATAAGACATTACAAAATTGACTCCTTTGCCTCAGCGGAGGTGTCCTTTGGAAGACGAGTCCTGCGGGGTGTGCATGTAGAGATGGGGACCTCCAACCAATCCAGATCCCACCCGTAGGGCAGCCATCAGCCAGCTTTGGTATGTCCCATCCTGGATTCTCCCTTCGGCTCAGTTGGTCCTACCTGAACACTTCTTCTCGGGGAGCCGAAGGGAGAATCCAGTCCCACCCTGTATTCTGTCTGGTCAGAATAGGGAGGAAATGTCCCTTTTTTTGCAGTATCAACTGAATTATGTGTTTGAGGACAAGGAGCAGCTGAATTCGCTTCAACATCGTTCAGAGCTGGGGACCGTTACTGGGGGAGGGTGTCCTCAGTTTTTCAACTCAGTCTGCAGAGCTAGGAGACTAGAGACTACCCATCCTGGATTCTCCCTTCAGCTCCCCCGAGAAGACGTGTTCAGGTAGGACCAACTATTACAAAATAGTAGTCTATTACAAAATAGTAGGCAAATTGCATTCAGCTTTAAATATTTTTTTAAAAAAGTACAGGATGCCTCCTGAAGAGAAAAAACCTCTATGAAACCTGAATGGCTAACTTGTTTCTATCATGGACTGGGAAGAAGTAACATGGGTCGGGGGGGAAAAGGTTACCAGAGCACATTTGCTATATATTTGAGACATGTACAAACCAAATTTATATAGTACTATTGTTCCAATAAGCTATTTTCCTAAATAATACTAGTTTGTGCATTGTATTATATGTGAAATGAAAAAGCTGATGCAGCCAAACCAAACTTATTTATTAAAGTCAGATGAAAGTTGCACAATCAAATCTAGGACCAGAAGTGGAGAGGGGGGTGGGGCTTTTTCTATTAATTTCACAAAAATAAAAACCTGATTCCCACTCCCTTTTATCAAAAGTCTATGAAAACATTTCTCTTGTTAAAATCTCAACACTTAGGAGATTTTCAACATTAAAATGTTTGAAGCAGTTGGGGGTGTAAACTCAGTGCTTATTGAAATGCTCAGTTATCGCATCTAAAAGTTCTTGCTTCTTTCCACCACCTGTTAGCTTATAAACCCTGCATATATCCTTTAGAATTGGCACAGTAAGTTTACCCAAAGTGCCTTTATCAACATGATTCCTCACCACCTCTTCAGAGAGTTCCATTCTTGCTTTCTTTTCTGGTTGTTCAGTACCACTACCTGCTGGAGAAAAAATTTGGGTGTAGTTATTTTATCACTCATTTGAAATGTTTTATGTATATATCCATCATGGCACAAAATCATACAAAGCTTCACATTCTGATCTCTTAAAAGATTTTGAGTCTTCTTCAAATCAAGCTCAACTGTTGGTTGATTTCATAGAGATGTCCAGGTAGTTTTCTTAGCAATATTGTGATGGTTTGCCATACAGACAGCATCGATTTATGACAATTTGTTCAGCAGCATTTTGAAGTTACTATGTATTGAACAGACATACGACCAATTTAGCATTCCCACAGGATCACAATCTGGGCATTTGACAACCCATTTGAACTTATGACTGGTTGCCAAGACTGCACTATTATGTATGTCATTGCCATCTGCAAACTTCCTCAAAAAATCAAGAACTTACTTATATTCTGAGAAAAAAAGATATTCTTAGATCCCACATTAGAATGTTGGCAACCTTAAAAAGAAAATATGCATTTAAGGACATAATGATCTCTCTGTATTCTTTCATCCCACCTTGTTTTTGTTTTATAGTTTTCCTATCAGGATCATAGTCTGGTGGATAAACAAGTTGTTTAAACTCCTCTGCAAGGCTACCCAGTCGGCCATCCATTAGCTCAACCTTTGGCACTAGAAAGGAAGGAAGACGACCTTAGAACTGATATTTAAAAATATAGAAATAATGGATATTCAATATGCACAATATATTTCTGAGCTTTAAAGCAGCAGGGGCCATGAACAGACCGATAAAATCTGACTGGATAGGAACAAGTACCAATTATTGTTAATTACTGAAATATTTTGTTTTGTAAAATGACATCAAAAACAAAGTAAACAACTGCTTTAAGGAATTAAAGTAACTAATAAATTATAACTCAATAGGGTTTGGGTGTTTTTGCCCCAGCCTTCATTAACTAACAGAAATGACAATATAGATACTTGGAAGGAAACCAGGTAAGAATATTTGGCTAACTTAAATATATCAACAGATGAAGGAAAACTGCTATACAAGCTCATCATGTCTCAAAATTCATCGTACAGATTCGAAATTGTAATCTAGGCTCTTTTTTTAAAAAGATTCAAAATACTGAGACGGAACACTGAAAATTGAGCTCTATTTTTATATTTTATATTTCATTTACTTCATAATATTCATTTAAAAATAATTCCTACGTTCAGGGTTGACAACTGATAAGCATTTAAGCATTACAAATAATGTACAATTCTATCAAATATTTTTACCACTTCTGTAAAAAATATTGTTCTAACGATGTATTCTTAAATGTTTATGACATATCGAAGACCACATTAAAGGCAAATTATATTAAATTATTCTTGCCTGTAAGATCCTCAGCTTTTTCAGGCTCCATCAAATCCAGTGCCAGTGCTTCCAAATTCATATAATGATGTTGTAGTACTGGATTTTCAAAGCTCTCACTTCTGTCAAAATCCAGCAAAAAGTTCCAAGAATGTCATCATGATATAGAAATGAAGATTCAAACACACGTTGACAACCCATTTAAAGAATAATATTCTTCAAACATAACATCTTTCTGTGGGAAATTATCCAGTTTTGAATGCAAGTGTCTATGTCATAAAATGGAAGAACTTTGCTATATACTGTAGTTCTCAAAAAAGAAAAGGCCCAACGTTTTGCTATTACCAATTCAGTGCTCTTTAAGAGAAATCTTTGGTTTTTCCTTGCATTATGAAACAGCTCACATCAGTTAACATTGCCAAAGGAAATGTTGTTTAATGAAAACCCGAAGGTTACTTTAAAAATGTACAATTATTATAGTACATGCATTTGAAACCTATAGTAAGACACAGATCTCTAATGAAGTTAAGAAACTGCTTTCTAGGTTAGAATTTTGTCAAAATTGATACTTATATTTTGAATTCATATTTTCCCTCTCTAGGATGAACACTTAAATATTATATTGCAAGCTTAAATTTGTCCCTTCTCTATAGAAGCAGTTTGGTTTTCTATCCAAAAGTAGGACATTGTAATAGCAAAAACTATTTGTTGTATATATTCATCTTAGATATATTGGATACCAAATTAAAATTTAATTCATTAAAAAGTTGCCTTGTTTGGGAAGCTAGTCTCAGTCCAAATTAAGTTCTGCATTCTGTATCCTGCATTGAGCGAGCAATGACATATGCAGATAGGATGAGATAAAAGAGACTGACTGATTCAAAGTAACCCCCTGAACGGTACAGTTAACTTCACAATACACAGGCAAAATAGGGCATTGAAAAAGATACTGAAGTTTGAAGGTTTGTCTAGTTACTATTTGCTATATATATATATCTTAATTTTTATCTCTATATCCACCTGTATTTGAATCGAAGCTTCTGGATTATTTCCTTCATTTTCTTCACTTGTTGTTGATTAGCTGGTATCTTCTCAGTAAAGTCAACATTTCGTTTGTCATCAGCATAAGGTAGAAAAATGAGATGAAAACCTAAGCAGAAGAATAAGAAAAACAGACAATAGAAAGCCAAGTCATTTGAAAGCACAATTTGACATTTATTCTGTCAACATAATCTCCAAATATGCAGTATTTTGATAAATAATTTACTAAGCTAAATTGGCATCACTACAAACTTTGCCTTGAATGCTTCAATTATTTTAAACTGCTTGAAATATTATTAAAATATTGATTCATTAACTGAATTTTTTTAAATGCCAATAAAGGTGATTGCTTTTGAAGAGATAATCAATGTAAAAAAGACATTAAAAAGGCAGAGTAGAAAGAATTTATTCATGTTTAAATTAATTTTATTAGACACAATTCAGAAGGGGACATATATGTAAACACCCTCCATAGTGGGAACAATAAGCTGAGAAATAGGTAGTGAAGGATTAACAGAATTTTTTTTTTATCCTGCAGGCAATCAAGGAACAATTTTCTTGTTAATGCAGTATACAGTTCATTATATCAGAAATGGATTAAGAATATCCACATTGAATATATAACATACTAGTACATAACATACTAGGTTTTATTTTTAAGAAATAAAAAAACATTTAGTTGGAGGCAGCATTTAAACAACTTTAATTTTATATTACACACACACACACATACACAATTGTACACAAATGCCTATACACACTTTATTACATATATTTAATATTTTTATTAAATTATTTATAAGCCACATTCATTGGTTATTATTAGAAATAATGCCAAATATGGAATTTGAAGATCCTAATTCTTCTGGAAGTTTTACAAATCTTTTTATCAGTAATACAAAAACGGGAAAGGAATAAAATTCAGGAGAAATACCTGCACATAAATTATTTTACCGCATTGCCCTATTATTATTTGATATACCAGATATCATTTTCTAGAATTATTAAAGAATAAGTATCTTTCAAGTTATACTTGTTCCATGCTTATTATAATGGTATAAGCAAAATATCTTATTTTGATTCTGTTTTGAAAAAAAATATCAAATAGAGCAACGCCTCTAAGCCAACCACAAAATAAAATATAACATTTAAATTACCTGCAGGGACTATCTGTACATTCTGCTCATCTAGTTCTTCTTCTTGTGGGATCAGAGCTATAAACCTGGGAGGATTGTTTTGACGTGGTATGTATTTACATATGGCCATCACTTCTTTCTCCAAACACTTTATTAACAAGGCATTAAACAGAGTAGTACTTCCTGTAAACAAAAGGCCATTTTTTGTTAAATTATTATTTTTCCCCTATAATTTGATTAGGGGTTATATAACACAAATAAAGCATATAGAACTACAAAATAGATACATTAAAAAAATAACAAAAGGTGTAGAAAAGAAAAAGATAAAAATAGAAAAGTCAAAAAAATAAAAGAAACTTCCCCCTTTATCCCCAGGCAAGTATAACCAATATCAAGAATGTGTCACTTAAAATAAAAACAACATATCTTCATTCCACATCTTCCCTCACTTTCTATAAACCCATCTCTTAAATCTCACCCCTTCTCTATTAAACTTATCCATGTGAAACTTTCCAAAACCAAAAAAATAATCATCCTCTTGCTATATGTTCCAAAGAATACAAATATTTAATCCTATAATTAAATTATTTTGTTTAAAAAAAGAATCAAAGGACACTCACTGATTTAAATAAAACTTGCTAGTCTGAAGGTCCTTAATTTTTAAAGTAAACCAAATAAATAAATAAATAAAATACAAAGTGATCAAGAGATTCTGTCAAATTTAGAGTCCATATAGATGAGATTAGCAGCTATGAGCAGGATGGAATCTCATGACTCCCAACTGATTGCAAACTGACAACAAAAACACAGTTCTGCTCTAAAAACATCAGTTTTATGGAACATATGTGGGTAAATTGATAATCTCTTTAACTCCCAAGAGATTTGTTGTCTAATTTTTGCAACTGGTTTTTTTTTCAGCCACAACATGCTCCTCTCTTTTAGAAGAACATCGATTTGCCAATAGGCTCACTGATGTTTGGTTAAATTATTCTAATGCTTTGGGACTCTTCAAAATAATAAAAAAGTTATAGTACATTCTCCCCAAAACACATGTGAAGGTTATCTTTGTTTTTTACTTGACCTGGGACCTTTTTAAAATGTAGATGTCAACAGTCTTTTCCCACATTTCCTTTTACAAATCTCTATCATGAAGAATTTCATCACCAATATTAAACCAGACTTCTGATAAATTATATCAGAATCTGGATGGTGGGAATGCAGTTCTTTTTATTCTGTTAGATTTCTCAGTTGCATTTAATGCTATCAATCATGTTATCCTTCTGGTCTAGTTGGGACACTGCACTGCAGTAGTACCTTATCTGCTGTAGGCATAATCAATCAACAGTTGTAGAGATAAAAGGTCAAATGCTTTTTATATGGAGTCCCACAGCACTCTGCATTCTCCCCCATTCTATTCAACATTTTCATGAATCTAGTGGAGGAACTCATACATGGATTGTGAGTAATTTATGATTAATAAGGCAATGATACACAGTTATACCTCTGTACTCGGTGCCTAAGATGAAACGTTCTAGAGGACCTTACCCATCTGAAGGCTATAAGATCAGGAGAGGACAAAACAGTTCAGTATGAATGTACCAAAACTAAGTGGCTATTTGTTCAGCAATTGCACGGTGGTTAGTGCCCTCTTGCTGGCTGGGGCAGAATAGCACCCCCTCCAAAGGAGTAGGTCCACAACTGGAAGATGGGGAGGAGAGGGTTGGATTGCCTTAGGAGTAATGTTTTTCCATCACTGCATCAATCCAATACCAGTATTATGGAACAACTTACCCCCCCAGCATTTCGATGGTCCTATTTTATTTTTCAGATTCTACTGAGATTGGTTGTTCTGCTAAACCACTGTTATTTGGGTGGTTTTGCTTAGGTTTACTATTAACATGAGAGTTTCTTCAGTTTTTATTACATTGTATGTTAATTTTTATAAGATGACTTGGGTTAAATAAATTAGCAACATGTAATGATGGAAAAAATAAAATTAAAAACTTCTTTTGCTAATGACAATTATCCTGGATTCATTTCTGAAGCCTAGAAATTAATCCTTTCTGATTATACCAATAAAATTTATCTCATTCTGGAATTCCATTGCTGTTGATATTGTTGCTGCTAGTATGTTCTGGAACAGAGTAATCCTAAAGATAAACTGCAGAATATAATTTTCAGTTATAATTACCATTCATTAAGAACTCATCAGGATAGATGAACTGTGCAGGCCTGATATAGTGATATCGTTTCAGCATTACCAAGGGTTTAAACCCAATCAGATACAAGCCTGGTAAATCAAATCTTTTTACTTCTTCTGTCTCTTCTTTCTCTAGCACAATCTGACGATTCCCATAAATCTAAGAAAGGAAATCAGGAAAAAGCAGCTGCTGAAAAAAATGCAGCAAAAATTATCATAGTTGTAAATAAAGAAGCCTATTAGAATCCTCATAATAAGACAGCACCACAAAAATCAGATTCCATACTGACTGTGTAAGAAATAAAGAGAAGAGCAAATATTTTTCAAGTTCATACTTCTACTCCTTAAAGGTTACAAATTCATCCCAATCATCCATTTCTCTCTAAACACTCCTTTAAACACAGAGTGGGATTGGGGCTCATTTTCAACAAAGTAAATACATTTATTGTTATCAGATTTTTCTATGTTCCCTGAGTTCCTTTACATTCTATCTTTTTTCCAGTTATAGCCAGTTACATAACAATTTAAAAATACTTTCAATTTATCTACAACATTTGTGGGAGAACAAATTATGTGTGATAACTAAACAAAACAACAACAACCAGACTGAGTATGGACATTCTCAGACAGTCGAATTTTCTATGACTGGGATTACATCCCCCCAAAAACGGCTTTTAGAGCACACAGTGGTACAAGCCCTACAAGTGTTACAAGAGGTGAAGTAGTGCAGAAAGGTGCATTGTTCATGTTCTTGCATACTCCAAAGCATATTTCTGAATTATTTCTGAAGCACTGCAGAGTCTTAGTGGATACGGCAAGAAGAGTATACTAAAGAATCCCTATTTTGTCCCAGCCCTTAGTACCACACATACAATACTGGTTTTATTTAAAATATATAGAACTAAAATATATAGAACTAAAATGCGCTTAAGCCCCTTTAACAGGTTAGTTGGCCTTTGGATTTGGGGGTAATGGTTTCATTAGTTTTCTTCTTTTTCTTCTTGATGTATTTTGTTTTTTTACTTGTAAGTTGCACGGAGTCATTTAGAATTGGACAATAATTTAATAATTGTAATAATGATTAACAATAGATCATATTTACTTAATTTTCAACTAAGACATATTCAAACAAAAATATTGCCACGAAAGAGATGCATTAAAATAAACCCAATTAAACTATAAACTAAATGGTTGCCAAAAATTTAGCAGGATCTAATCTATTCTAGGCCTAACTTCCTACATGTAAACTTGCCTTAGCAATAGAAGGTGTCTGATTCCTAGCAGTTTTATGAAAGTTGTGCTTGAAGAAAAATACTGTATATATATACCATATTACAAATTCCAGTATTTGGTAAAATATGGCCCAAGAGTGAGCATGAATTCATCAACTTTTGCAAAGCATCACAGCAAGGAAGCTCAGGTACATAAGTCAGGATATAATGGCTTCTACATCATTATAAATGACGTGATGTACTGCCCCTCAAAATTATTTAACATGGAAAACAGAAAGTTGAAAACATTACCTGAGCTCTTTTGGTGTCACTTGGAAGAAGCAAACTACCTGTCTCTCGATTAAAGGTTCGTGTTTTTGTTTTCAGTGGCTCATTAGTTTCTCTGTAAAGTTTCATCGGAGGCTGCTTGACAGCCTTCTGGACTAAGTTGAAAATGCCAACAGTAAGAATTATATCCTTTCCCAAGTATAAATTCAGCCTAAGAATAAATAAACACAAATTTAAGTCTTTGAAACCTTGTACAATACTTTGATTTCCATTTTAAAGAAAAGCACATTACACTTTCTCATCTGAAGACACAATAAACTTTCCACAATTTAATATTATATATTATTTAATGTAACTCTGTTATCATAATTCCTCCAAAGTCTCCCAGATTACCCTGCAAAAAGATGTTTCTTGATACTCACCGACTTAAAGCGCGCTTCCTTGTTTCTTTTGCTCGTACTTTCTTCATAAGATCCTCCAATTTGCAAGACTCTTCAAACTGGATTCCTAGGTCCTCATCATCTGCTGTATTAATGATATCTCTGTAGAATAAGGAAATATCAAACCCTCCAGGCTTCTTTAGATTCATTAAGTCAAGGTAAATTCCTGCAATCACAGAATTGTGGGAGGGAAAGAGATTGTTTCCTATATGAGAATCCAGATACCGTTACTTCATTTCTTACAGTGATCTCCAGATATGTACAACATAGCATTTATTAGGTAAAGAAACCTCCAAGAACTAAACAAGAAAAAAGCTTTGTTTTACAAAGCACCTGAATGAGGACAGGAGAGACATCAGAAACCATAAGCTGCAATATGAGCAGATACATAAAACTGAAATATTTCAAGTTTCGTATACAGAACTGGTGTTCCCTAGTAGTTTCCCATATATTTACAAAGTCAGGTGTTAGTTGGTTTACCCTCCTTTTCCTGCAATACCCAGGACATGCTGAAATACTTCACATTTCTGGATTGTAGAAAACAGAAGCACTCAATCAAATTGGTGATCAAAATTTAGTCCATCAGCAAGATGATCTAATCATGTGGACATGAGTCTAGGACGTAAGCAACATGCATTCAACTCTTCATTCAACCACAAAAATCTTCCTAAATTACTTTGCACCACTGATAATCTCTCATTTTAAAGTACCTCACATACGCCTCTTTGTAGATATCAAATTGAGGAAATGTTGTTTGCTTCTCTGAAATGAGGTATCACTTTTATTCTAAATTATGCTTCACCTATAATTTGAAATACTAACCTATTTCTCGTAGGTCAGCAGCTTTAGTTCTAGCAAATTTGGTTTTAGTACTATCTTGACCATGAGGGTCATCTTCATTGGTGAACAGCATGATTCTCTTGTGGCTCATCTTGAAAGGGACAGCACTGAAGAGATTAGTACAAACCCAGAGTGCGTCGCCTAATGAGTAGTTGTCATTATGGCCAAAGGACTTTTGGAAGAGAGCTTTTCCCTCTTCTCCTTCATAGCTAGCCAGCTCTAATACTTGTTTTGCCCCTGGTAGGAAAAAAAAATATTCTCAGTTCTCACAAAACCAAAGCAATGAATTAGTGATGGTGCTATGGCTCTAGAAATGATAGGCCAGTATTTGCAAATTATTCAATAGTTTGTCTATTTTGTTTCATTTCCAATTCAGGAAAGTAATGTTGTTCAACATGGCAAGATAGTTAGATCATCAATAACTATTTTTTTCAGTTATTAAATACATTTATTTAAAAATAGGAAAAAGGCTGAAAGTAATATTTACAGATTAATAAAATAATCAATGTAGGAGGCTTTAAGTAGAGAACAGCAATTTGTGAGAAAATAGCATTATCTAACTGGGTAATCCGATTAGTTATTTGCATTGTTTACCTAAATATTGTTTTAAACAATTTTGACATTAAATTGTAAAACTTGCCAGCCTTCTTCTTAACCTATTAAGAATGTTTTAATTGCATTTCTGTCAACTATTATATTCAGTTTTGTGTCAGCTAAGGAATAGAGGACCCAGAACCAAACCTTATGGCATTCTGATGGAAAACCCAATGAAGATGATCTCTCCGTTTCCTAGGTTAATGATTCTCAAACTTTGTATTACCATACCCTCCTATATAATAAATGAATTTGTGTGAACCACTCACTCCCATGAATAAGCATAAAGCTATTGGTATTATTGTTAAATAATAAATACGCCATTTATTTTTAATAATCAACTCTTAATTTATGTGTCACGGAATTTCTCACCTCTGAATTATATCACAGCAATCTCCCACTGCAGGATTTTGCAGGCAAAATAGGTAGCAAAGCCTAAAATGAATTTTGACCATATTCCCACTACAATTAGTTTTTTTTAAATGCAACTGAGTTTATAGTTTCTCAGATATCCTCTTTCATCACAGATACATTCCACATAGTTCCCACTTTACCTGGATTGTTCAAATCCTGGAGAACATATATGTGTTTAGCATTCATTTTATTATTATGCTGCTCTGTTCCATAAAACACAACACCAACAAGGTCCCTCTCATGGCTGATGATTTTGTTCCTGTATACATTCTGAATGCACTGGTAAGAAAATACAAATCAGCTGGGATGAGAGAAAATAACATAAATACATCTAATCATCCTTTTAACAAATGTGGGGTTATAATACTCTATAGTATAAATACTTCTAAAAGTATGGCCATATTATCTAACATTTGATCTTTAGAACATTTATAACTTTAAAAAATCTTATCAGGGAGGTAACTTGTACCAGAAGCCACTGGTCATCTACTTAAGATTGGTGAACAAGTTTCCATATCTTTGGTTCCCAATGTTTCAAACAGGAATGCTCCTCAGAGTTATTAGAGGACCTTTCAAGGATCTTTTGCATATACAGCATATGCTCTGTCGCTGAATAATACACTAATCAAGAAATTAAGGAAATACTGGTTTGCAATCTCATTTCTATTCTCTCAATAAAGAATTCTGTCTTACTCCATGGTACAGTGCTATCACTACAATGCATTTCAGAATCTTTCAAATTTCCAGATGTAGAAAAAAAGTCATCTTACCTGAATTGCCATATCAAAAGGTGTTAAATTACTACCATCAAAATACTCAAACATGGTTCTTGAGCCATCCACTAAGAAAAGCAAAGTGTCTCGACCTCCATATTTATATATTCCTACAGAGGTAAAAAAATGTTGCATTTAATGTGTATCATCCTATTTATCCAATCCAACTATCCTATATTCTTTAATTATAACTATCACAGTGATTCTGGGACAAAGGATCTACATTCCTATACAGCACAGAAATTTGATGCAGCTTTGGGGGGAGTGGGGTTAACTCAACAGTTTGCTCATGATGCAACACACCATAAGACAACAGCATTAGTTTTATTTAAAAGCAATTTAAAGCAGCCTGTTCTATTTGCTCTGATTTTTGAGCAATAATTATAGTAGATAAAAAGTTACCAATGACCCTATCACACCTATACATATACTTTGGAAAGCATACATTCTTTGAATTAACATTGTGTCCTTCCTATATAGGCATTAGGGTGGCTACTGTGAAAAAGCCTTTTGTTTTATCCAGTATGCACCAGTGCATGTTTTAGTTTTTCAGGACTCTGCACCAACATAAAAGAGGCACTTCACATAAGAGGCAAAATATTACTTTTACCACTTATCACGTTTCACATGAATGTGATAAGATGCCTAGTGTCCCCATACCATTGTAAATTAGTTGCAAATGTCCCTCAATGCAGCGTTTCTATCCAGCAAATTAACAGCATATGCAAAAATGAATCTTACCAATGTTTTCAGCTGCTTCTGCTTCTGCTTCTTCCTCTTCTTCCTCCTCTCCCTCATTTCTGTAGTAAGATACCCAGTTTGACATGGTTTTCCTGTGTTACTACAAAGAATGAATTATACAGATAAATAACTTATAACAAAGAGAAATGTTCCTATATTCAGACTGGTTTCCATAGACAGAAGTCTTTCCAAATATGCAAACATGAAGATGTTCATGTATTCTACTTTTGCTTCAACTCAGTCTCCCAGCTCTTAAATATATCCATCAAATCATTATTTTTTCAGTAAACAGCAACACGTTGCACTATTTGCTAAAACATTACATGGGCAGCAGTAATAGATGACATAATAACTGTGTACAAGGCCCCTAAAATATAAAGTTTTAAAAATAAATAACAATAGCCACAGACTGACAAAATCTTAGTCATTTACTCATTTCATTTTTGGAAAGAGATGATCAGTGTCCTGCACCAAAGAGATTAATAACTTTGCAAAACTCTGAATTACTGTAAACAAAATATCCCATTGAATATTGTTAGAGGAATAAGTAAAATAAGACAATAATACATCTATCATATTATTACATGTTATAATTACAATTCCTAACATCTATACCAGTTATCTTAAGATAGCTCATTCCAAGTTTGCAAAATACAACAGTATATAGTAATAAGAACTACCTTCAGCTTAACAGAGAAAATGCAAGCAATTTAAATACTTATTCAGTCAGCAAACTGCTGTTAAATTTTATGATAGCATGCCTTGAAAAAATTATTTTGTTATTTTTATAAACTTTTATTTTTTTATCAAATTTCTACATCACCCATCTGAACTGGCTCAGGATGCTTTACATATAATCATACAAACATACCCTCATGTTGTGGCTCCAATTCTCAAGCCTGTGCTGTTAGAGAAAGAGGACTCGGAAGATGAGGAGGAGGAACAGGGAATGACTTCCTCCCCAGGACCTTCCTCTCTGGCAATGCCTTCCTCCCTGATAATGCCTCAGGTTTCATCAGACAACCGAGAGGAACAGCCTGAGATTAATCAGGAGGAAGGC